CGTATGTACCAGGAATTGAACTCAGGGCCTTGCACTTGTCAGCCAGGCGCTGTGCTGCTGAGCTACATCCCCGACTCTCCCATATATTTTTATAATCATATATATTTCTTTCATATTATGTTAAGATTGGGCAGATAAATATATAAGGTATGGCAGGTGAAAAAAATTCGATCCAAGCTGGGTACAGTGGCACACACCTGTAATCTCAGCACTCTGGGAGGCTGAGGCAGGAAGATTAAGTTCGAGCCGAAGTTGAGCAATTTAGTGAGACCCTGTCTCAAAATTTTAAAAAAACTAAAATAAAAAAGAGTTGAGGATTCAGCTCAGTGTGAAGGCCTTGGGATCAATCCCTGATCACACACACACACACACACACACACACACACACACACACACACACACACACCCAAAGTTAATCTATGTTTAACTTATTTTGAAATAAGACTCTGTTCTACAGGAATTAAAATTTATATGGGCTGAGAGTACAGAGTGGGAGTGGCAGAGCACCTGACTAGTATGTAGAAGGCCCTGTGTTTGATCCTCAGCATCATACACACACACACACAGACACACACACTCACACACTGACTACACTTTATAAGTATAACTCACAAATATTTTCTTGCAGATATAAGTATCTGGGGCACACCAGTGGCACAATCAGTTACCGTGCAGTACTTATATATGAGTACCTAATCATTTGGTACTATTTTGAATATTTAACTATAGATTTTATTTGAACATGAGAAAAGCAGCTAATCTATTTTATTTAAAAACAACAAAAAATTAGCGTCTAAGGAAAGTTTCCAAGGTTGACAGTATGAGTCAGTGACAGACTGCTATGCCTAAGGCCCTGGATTACATTACTTAGCACAGAGGGGGAGTTGAAGGAGAGAGGGTAGAGGAGGAAGGGATGGAGGAGGGGGAGGGAGAAAGAAACAGGAAAAAAGAAGTTAAAGTTTCTGGAGAATATAGTATTTAAAAATCAGCAGATTAGTGTGCTGGGGTGTAGCTTAGTATAGAGTGACTGCTTAGGATGCATGAGGCCCTGGGTTTGATTTCTAGTACTAGAAAAAAAAATTTTTTTTTGGTACAGGGATGAAACTCAGGACCTTGTGCTTGCTGGGCAGGCACTGTGCTGCTGAGCTAAATCCCTGGCCTGGAAAAAAATTATTTTAGTAAAAATTATTACAAAACACATATAACCCTGATTCAGAATCAGAAAATAATAAAACACATTGCATAAAATCACTTATCAAGGCTAAATATAGACAAAGTATTGCAGAACTGACCTTTAAAAGTTCCTCTGATGTTGGACGATCCTGAGGGATTTTCTGGAGGCAAGAATCTACAAAGTTGCGAAAATAATCAGACCTATTGTAAAGGAAAGTATTGAGTGAACATATTGCTATTTCCTTAAACAAAACAAAACACATACATCCATAAATCAAGGCATGTGCTTACTGGAGGGAGAGGAAAAGGAATGGTAAAAAAGGGCAGATTATATACTTTTTTTTTTTGGTACCAGGGATCAAACTCAGGTCCTTGTGCTTGCAAGGCAGGCGGTGAAGATTATATACTTTTATATGAGTTTGTGAAAAATGATCTAAAGCAACAAATGAATATTCACCATTTTCCAAAGACAAGGTATAGTGTGTGCTTATTAGCATTTAAGACGCCCTGAATTTGATCCTAGGAACCAAACACAGTCTTGCTCCCACTTACTGAACTATCACAACTACACTGAAAAAATGCGGAAAATCTATTTACTTCTTTTCCCACTCAAATTCAAGATAACATTCCTTTTGTTTTTCTTTTTTTTTTTTGGTACTGGGGATCGAACTCGGGTCCTTGAGCTTGCAAGGCAGGCAGCTTGTTTTTTTCTTTTCTTTAAGCCAGCCTCTTTCTTATTTCCCCTTGGATAATTTTCTATATAGTATATCATCAGAACATCATTCTTTCTGCTCTGGAGAGAGTTTTTTTTTTTTGGTACTGGGAATCAAACTCAGGACCTTGCACTTGCGAGGCACGTAAGGTGCCGCTGAGCTAAATCTCCAGCCCTGGAGACAGTATTTTTTATAGCTGAATATTTGGTTCCCTGAGCAAATGGATAAGTCTTCCACAAAACCTAGAAACCCAAATAAGATATTTAAAAAAGTTTTAAAAGTCTGTGCATACTATTAAATAGTGCTGTTCATGAGAAGGCATTGCTTGAGGGAATAAACAATAATTACTCCATCAATGTTTGACTCCCATATCCAAATGAGATTTTAAATTCCTTGCAGGCAAGAATTCTTTTATTAATTCCCAAAGACTCAAACCCAATGAAAAGACAGTCTCTGTGTTCAATATATTCATTACTTATATGTACCATCCTATGGTTTGAATGTTTTTTCGTCTCCAAAACACAAAGCTGAAATTTAAATCTCAATGCCACAGTGTTAGGAGGTGGAGCCCAAATGGAAAGTTTTAGATTATGAAGATACTGCCTTCATGAATGAATTAATGCCATCATAAAAAGGGGTGCATAGGTGGGTTCACTCTCTCTTGTTCTCCTGCCATATGAAAACACTTTGCTTTCCTCTAGAGGGTGCAGGTTCAAGGCACCATTTTAAAATCAGAGACTGAGCCCTAACCCAGTGGTGGCCTTGGTCTTGGGCTTCCCAGACTCCAGAACTGTGAGAAATAAATGTCTGTCTTTATATATTTTGCAGTCTCAGATATTCTATTATAGCTACATAAAACAGATGAAGATGTACCATAATACTAAACTCTACCCAAAAGATTCTTTCAATTATTTCTACATAATTAGTAAAGACTTATAAATGTACTCTAATAATGTAAAATGATAACATACCCTTATTTTCTATTCTCTATTTCTGAATTTCAAAACATTTATTAAATATCCCAGATATTTCCCTAGAATATTTCAAATGTTAGGAATGCCTAAGAAATTAATTTTGTGTGATATTTTACCACTGATCAAAATTCCAGTTTTCTAAAACTGCCAATCTTTTCTCCATAAACTTCATTATATGAATGAACTTAATTTTAGCATGGTGGTGCATGCCTATAATCTCAGCACTCTGGGATGCTGAAGTAGAAGGATCACAAGTTTGAGCCCAGTTTGGGCAGCTCAGTGACTTAGCAAGACCCTGTCTCAAACTAAAAAATATTTTTAAAAGGGTTGGGATATGTATCACATACACATACCATCACTACCATCACTACCATCACCACCATCACCATCACCACCACCACCACCACCAACAACAACAACAACACAAAATAATAGAAAGATTAGCACAGCAATGTAAATAATATCTTAACTAGAAGGATCTGCAAGGTTTTTTTTGGTACCAGACATCGAACTCGGGTCCTTGCACTTGCACAGCAGGTGGCAAAACCACTGAGCTAAATCCCCCGCCTGATCCGAAAGTTTTTAAAACATTATCTGGCAATTTTGATAGTCAAATCCTTTTACCTGGGATTTATATCATATAAATTATACACCATTCTTCAATCAAGTATCACTATACTTACACAATATTAATATTTAAATATGGTATTATCATATGATTTGGGTTATATATGTGCCTAAAGTTTAAAAGATATACATTTTTGTAATAATCAATACTTTTTTGCATCCATGTTGACATTATCTATACTTTTACTCTGAACTGAGTTGTATATATGCTATAAAATGTGGAAACAACAAATGACAAACAGAGGAATATATGAACCTATTTTTTTTTCTTTTGGTACCAGGGATTGAACTCGGGACCTTGCACTTGCAAGGCAGGCACCAGAACCACTGAGCTAAATCCCCAGCCCTATAAACCTATTTTAATATCTCTTCAGGTAATACACTTTCCCTAAATAACAGACTATGAAAAAAAATTTCATTTATACAATGTCACACAGTATGTCTCAGCAATACTCACCATTCATTAGACTGTAGTGTAGGGGATTCATTTTGGGCTATGTGATATAAGGCACTCATTGCATTCATATTAAATAAAGGAGGCTTCCTTTCCGCTGTAAAAAAGGTAATTTCCTATTAAAACATGTGCATGTTATATAGGGGCACTCAAATATTGTCAAGCTTACAAACATGAAATTGTTTCCCTGTTACCTTTTAATTTCTGTAAGCTTTGTAGTGATAGTCACTTCTCATTTTTGATACTGGAAATTTGTTTTTTCTCTTTGGCAAAATTTACCAACTTTTTGATCATCTTTACTGATTTTCTCTTTCATTCAACTGATTTTTTGCTTTAATCTTTGTAATTATCCTCTTTCTTCTGCTCACTTTGGATTTAATTTACTCCTTTTTCTTCTTTCTTTTTTTGAGACAGGGTTTTCCTTTGTAGCCCAGGGTGGCCTTGAACTCTCTGCCTCATTTTCCTGCCTCAGCCTCTCAAGTGCTGAGATTATAGGTATGTACTACCTTGTCTGGCTCTTTTTTCTAGTTTCTTAAGGAGAAAGCTGAAATCATGATCTTGATGATTTTGAAGTACACAGGACTCTTGCATGTTTCCCATTTTAGGTTTGTCTGATATTCTCTATTAGATTTCAGGTATCTTGTACCTCTTTGGCAGAATATTACAGAAGTAATGCTATATTTTGCTAATTATATTTTGTGAGGTGGCACATGATTTCAAGTGGTCACACTATTGATTGTGTTCATTTTGATCACTTCATTAAGACTGCATTTGCCAGGCTTCATGGTAAAATTTCTCTTTTCTCTATTTATACTTAATAAGCATTTTATGAGAAGGCATTTTGAATCTATGTACCCTTTTTCTCACTAACTTTAATTTTTAAGTAATTATATGGATTAATACTTCTATTTTATTTAATAAGTTATAATTTTATCATTTACTATGATATTGAAATTGTCTCATATTTGACCAAGGGGACCCTATTTTAAGTTGGCTTCTGTGTTTTTTGGACATATCTTCATTATTCACTGATTATTTCCTAGCATTCTGGTATAGAATCAACTATTTTCCTATCCCAGACACCAGATCAACTTTCTCCAAGGACCCATGGCACTAGATGTGCTATTACTGGGGTATTACTACTCCCAGGCCCTCTCACTGGACAGAGTTAGAAAACATGTCCATGTACATAATTTGTCTACACAGATGCACATAAAGCATCTATATTTATTGAAAACAAGTTTAATATAATACTTTGAATTCTGATCCAAAACAGTGATTATTCTAGCTTTCTCTTTATTTATAAAGCTCTTCTCTGACAATAAGCAATCTTTTATTATCCTTAATATATTTTATTTAATAAATTTCCTCCCCATCAAGTTCCCATTTTTATCATCACCTTCTCTTCTGAGCAGATGTCCACTTTTTCCTGTTCATTCTGAATGGAATTCCTATTCCATTTCACTATATAATGTGAATCCCTTCTTTACCTATTCAGTTTGACACTCCACTCAAACCAGGTCGCATCTCTACAGCCAAGGCATACACACCTCAAGAGAGGAACTCTCTTCATTTTTATTAGATATTACCACTGTGTTAGGATGCCCCTATATATATAGTCTGTCTCTTTATAGACTTTGACTTTATATAATGGGATGTTCCTCCTGGGTAGTCAATTCCTCACCCTCCTCAGGCTCTGGTAACTCATGGTGAACCACTTCTATGTGTCACCCTACTAGATCTCAGTCTCCACATTTGACAGCCACCTGCATAGAAATACTCTTCCGTTTCTGACTCCACACACCAAGCTATGGAATTCTTTACTATATTTATTTGATTCTGTTATCCACACTGGGTTATCACAGCTCATCATTTGGCATGGATACTATGATAGTTATCTTGATTGTTAACTTGATTGGAATGAGAAATACCTAGTAGTAAAGCATATTTCTGGGTGTGTCTATGAAGGTATTTTCAGAAAGACTGGCAGGTGAGACAGCAAATTAAGGGGACACCTGTCCTGAATGTAGAAAGCACTATCCAATAGGTTGGGGCCCAGATGAAACTAAAGTGAAAGCAGAAGGCCTGACAGTACATGCCTGCTTTTGTGTTCTTTCTCCTTCCTGGCCACCATGAAGTAAGCAGCTTAGCTCTACCACCTATTTCCACTATGATGTACTACTACAGGCCCAGAAACAATGACCCCAGCCAATCAGGTACTGAAATCTCTCCAACTGTGAGCCAAAATAAACCTTTCCTCCTCTTTGTTTTGTCTTAATGACAGAAAACTGACTAATGCAGATACCTATCTACTCTGTCCCACCCAGTAGCTTTAAGATTGAATAATGTGAGGGAAGGGGAAAGGATTACTGAAGAAATTCTGAATGAATAAATAAATTATCTGTTTCTAAGGTAACTATTATGGTCTTTAATTTGGCAGATTCAAGAGAAATCTTCTATCTCAAAATCTTATAAGCTACTACTAAACTTAGATTTGATTTAAACCCAATTTATTTTATAAAAAGGTACAGAGGTCCTATTCCTTATTATCTTGTGTACGTGTTTCTAAAACATCTCTGTCCTTAAATGGATTGCTTCTATAAAATATCACCCAAGCTAAAGAGGAAATGAGATGAAACTGAGATGGAAAAACCACAATATTCAAAAAGTAAATCTCACAAACACAACAGCCAGTAAAAACATGAGAGAAAGAATTCATATTATGTTTAATTATACAGTAGAATAATCATAAAAGGCAAGATAAATGGGTTCAAATTTTAATACTTTTCCATACCTCTCATAGGAACAGTGAGTTTTTATTTGCTGGGGACAAGTTGACAATAAACTCAGTAACAGTTGGTCTACTACCCACATTACTACTAATTTATAATGGTCCACTGTTTTTAGCATATTTCCACTTAGAAGTAACAAAACAAAATATATGCATACAATCAAAACTGCTAAGGAAGTTGAGTCCAATCTCTTTTCCCAACTGCAAGCATCACTGTATTGATTTTGTGTGTTTTTTTTTTTTTTTTTGGTACTGGGGGTCAAATTTAGGAGCTTGTACTTGCAAGGCAGGCGGTGGAACCAGAGCTACATCCCCGGCCGCTGTATTGATTTTTATACCTACCATCATAGTCCTCCTTGAATAAAGTCTGCCTTACCATCTTAAAAGAAAAAATCAAACTGTTACAAAATGATATACAGCCTGATCGCTTCTTGCCTTTTGGCTAAGATCAAGTGATATACAGCCTGACATCTAATCTAATTTTCATACCTAACTTAAAGTAACAACTGAATGCTTTAGAGTCCTTTTACAGATGATAAAACTCGTAATGATAGGCAGTTTAGGTGTTTAACAAATACTCATTAATGTTAGACATAGATAGCTCAACCCCAAACCACAGTGGTAAAATTATCTTAGTCATAATTGAGCTGCAAGCAAAATACAATGAAGAACAGTCCTTACCAAGTTCAATACATGTTATTCCAAGAGACCATACATCAACTTTGCCATCATACTGTCCTTCATCCATGGCTAAAATTACTTCTGGGGCCATCCTAAAACATAAAATGTTCATTTCAATTAAAGTTTTAAAAGAATATGCTATTCACTATTCTTTGAGAATGTAAAGACCATCTATATGGAGGACATGGGTTTGAATTTTAGCCGACATGTGTGGACATAATTTTTATAATCAGAAACAATTACATTAGAGGCTGTGGGCTGGGGATTTAGCTCAGTGGTTCTGCTGCCTGCCTTCCAAGTGGAAGGTCCCGAGTTCAATCCCCAGCACCAAGAAAAAAAAAATTAGAGGTTGCGAGGTAAATATTTAGCAATGCATATAAAGTGTTAGGTTCGTTCTCCATATTGTCATTACCATGTAACAGCATCCCAAAAGAAGGAGAATTCCAGAGCAAGGTTGTATTCTGCATCGATGCAAATCTGCAGATTCCAAAATTACATATCCTTTAGGCCAGTGGTTCATAAACACTGGTCTCAAGATTTGATTACAAAAGTCTAATTTTTGTTTGAAAGATTAAATTTTACCATTGGAAACAAAAGTTGTCAGTTATTCTTGAATTGACAACCTCCCTTCAGTTACCTGAGAAATTCTGCCATAACTAAGATCAAATAATCATAGTTTATAGATGTCTCTCAAAAAAATGATATTAAATGATAAGAGTGGCTAGGGCAACTCACAACTCAATCACACATCTACCAACCTTATGGGCATATTAGTTATAAACTCAAACCCCAATTCATATCTACAACTAGAATGTAATACTCTCAATGGTACTTTACACTTCATCTGTATTTGGTGTTAAGCATAGATGAACACCTATGAAAGAGCTGTAACTGCTTCAATAAGATTAATAGCCATGCCAAATAGGTGTGTATAAAGATGTATATAGTCAATTCTTGTGTTCCAAAGACAATGTACAAAAATAACATGTTAATAAGGAAAACCTTCAATTGTCCATAACTGGATGTTTCACAAGTTCCCTTCCTTCCTCCTCTCCTCTCCCTCTCTTCTCCTTCCCTTCTTTCTTTTATGCTCTTTTCTCCTTTTGAGATAGGGTCTCACTATGTAGTTCAGCCTAGCCTTGAATTCACTATATTTGACCATGAACTCGTGATCCTCCTGCCTCAGCCTCCTGAAGTGCTGGGATTACAGGCATGCACCACCAAGCCTGGCTTCACAAGTTTTCTTTAAAGTGATGAATTAAGTTTAAGAAGTTACTAACTTAAGCAAAAGTTAAAGAAGTAACTTGTATTTTTAAATGAAAGACTTTCTGGGGCATTTTAAATATCTAATATCCATCAAAAATTTCTAAAGAGGGAAATCATTAAGTATTATTGGATCAGAGAATTCATTTTTTTAGAGGGAAATGAGACGAGATATATAACACACATATATATACACACATACATACTAGGGTCTACAAAAGAAATTTTTGGTCATTTACAATAGATTTTCAATTTTTCAATTCATTTACCTCCTAGAATTTAGTTATCTCAATTTATTAAAAACACTGCCAGGGCAGGGGATTTAGCTCAGGGGCACTGCACCTGCCTCGCAAGCGCAAGGTCCTGAGTTCAATCCCCAATACAAAACAAAAACAAAAACAAAAAAACCCCACACAGCCATATAACCTAATTAGTAAATCTACTCTTCAGGTCATATAAATCAGACAAATCAGAATGACTTAGGTCAGAAAAAGGTCGACTTCATTTTTCAACGCAATTAAACATATTCATGTGTCCCCACAACAATCATCTCTGGACAGAATTCTATACTAAGGTGAATACAAAAAAGGGAGAAGGGAGTTTTGGGGAGGAAAAAAAAAAGACAAGTAAAAAGGAAGTGAAGGAAGATAACTAGAAAGGCACAGGACCTTGCTCTCTATGTGTGCCATGGCCTTTCAATATTTCTCACAATGCAAGACATTCTCAAAATACGTCTCTGGTATACTTCTGAGGCTTTTACATCCCACAGCAATGCACTATTGTAAATATTTGGGATAGGGAGGAAAGCTGTCTTTTATAAGGGAGATTTGAAAGGCAGATAGAAAAGAAGATGCAGTGGACCTAAAGCACCACTCTCAATGCATATAAAGAAGATACATATGGGAGTTAAAGATCTGAAAAGTAATTTCCTTTAAACTTCTGCTGACAGATACATACTGAATTATTTACAGATGAAATTAGATAATGTCTAAGATTTCCTTCAAAATGACCAGCATGGGAAGAAATGAGAGTCCATAAGGCAAGACAGGTTATGTGACAGATAATGTTGTTGGGCTGGGTAACTAGGATGTATGAACTCATCAGACTTACGTTAACTTTTATGTATATTTGAAATTCTCTATACTAAAAAGTTAGAACAAAAAACTGAAAAAAACTCCAAATCAGTTACCAGTCTTTAAGTATTCTTAGTCTGAAGATCAGTGATACGAAGTAAACTTAAATTTAAAGAAAACATACAAATTACCATTTAGCATGTCTATCTCCCCTTGACTTTTTTCATGGCCAAAATATATGATGTAAAAAGTAATACAAGGGCCGGGGATTTAGCTCAGTGGTTCCGCCGCCTGCCTTGCAAGCGCAAGGACCCAAGTTCAATCCCCGGAACAAAAAAAAAAGACTATCACCTCAATGTGCATCCATTTAGCTATAAATGTCTCTAGCTTCTCATTCTTTGGGCCGGGGATTTAGCTCAGTGGTTCTGCTGCCAGCTTCGCAAGTGCAAGGACCCGAGTTCAATCCCAGGTACCAAAAAAAAAAAAAAAAAAAAGTAATACAAAAGCACATGTGGCAGGAACAAAATGAAATAGAAATGAAAGGATGAAAAGAAAAAGATAAAAAGGAGATGCAAAGACAGTACTCCAAATCTATATTTAAAATGAATTACTTAAAACAAAAATATCCAGAGGTATCATATTTTCAGAAAAAAGGAAAGACATCTGAAAAAAGTGTAACAACACATTCCCTTTTTCAATTATGAGGATCAATACTAGATAAGACTATCCTTACCAATATGGTGTTCCCACAAAAGAATTGGCAGGGGATGCCATGGAAGCAGATCCAAAGTCAGCAAGTTTCACCTGGCCTGGTTCTGTCAGAAGGATATTTCCTGCTTTGATATCTCTGGGTTTAAGGAACACAGAAAATTATTTTTCCTTCATTAGATTGTATTAAAAATCAAATAAAAATTTAAAGATATGGAGAAATATAAAAATAGAGAATTCAAATAAATATATAGTAACAATTTTCTAAAAGAGAAAAATAGTTTAAAAAGACAGAAAAATCAGGTAACTACAGAAGCATATAGTCTATATTTAAGTTTACTGGTATAAACTATGGTTTTCAAAATAGAATTTATGTACAGTGGTCCCTCAGGTTATGACCGGCCTTACATACACACAACTTGGGTTAATTAGGTTAATGAGAGTCATCTGCCTCTTGTTATCTATAGCGTATACCCCGGTGAACATTCAGATCTCAGCTGTATTGACTTGGTTACAGTCAAACCTCAGCAACCGATTAAATTCGTAAGTCAAGGGTCCTCTGTAACTGACTCATAATCCCTTTATGCATGATGTGTAAGATTTGAGTACCTGAGTTAATACTAAGGGAAAAAGAAAAAACTAAACTTAGTTTTTGAAAAAAAGGATTATTTACACCATTTTCAAATTTTAGCATAGTTCTCCTAAATACGAAAACTGAAATAAATATATGGAGAATGATCCCAAATTTATTTTCAAACTCACTTTTTTGAAACAGTAACCAACCAAACCAAGAAAGTAACAGATTCTTATATAATGAGACTGTATGTCCAATGAGCACTATACCATACTCTTGACTTTTCAAATTTAAAAAAGAAAAACTAAGGCCAGGGATTTAGCTCAGTGGTTCCACTGCCTGCCTCACAAGCACAAGGTCCCAAGTTAGATCCCTGGTACCAAAAAAAAAAAAAAGAAAGAAAAACTAAATTTCCAAGCATTTGTTAATTCTTATCAAAGTATTTTAGTGCATATAAAATTAAGTGAATTCATTTTTCTTCCATTTGTTTTTAAAAAATGGAGAGTGTAGTGTTTTTATTGGGGTTTTTTGTTGTTGTTGTTTTTATTTTTTTATTTTATTTTTTGGTACCGAGGATCGAACTCGGGTCCTTGAGCATTCGGGGCAGGCGGTAGAACCACTGAGCTAAATCCCCGGCCCTGTTGTTGTTGTTTTTAAAGGGATGCTAGGGAATGAAACTTGGGCCTTGTACACAGAGAGGTACTTTGCAGATGAGAATATGCTAGGTTCTAATTCCAATTCTACTACTCATTCATTTGCTAGCATTAGATTTATCTTGGATTTTACTAAATTCATCTAAAAAATGATAACATTAATTCACAACAATCCTATGAGACAGTTTAATATATATTGCCTAGTTCACATATGTAATTTTAAAATGCTAGTTTCTTTCCTTTTTTCCAGCACTGGGGATCAAACTCAGGACACTTTGCACTTGCGAGGCAGGCGTTCTGCCATTGAGCTAAATCCCCAGCTCCTGGTAGGTTCTTCCTAAAACAGCTAAAACCAACAAAAAGAAAAATAAAGTAATATTTTAACCTCATGGTTAGTACCCATTACCAAGGACTGCACAAGGATTAACACTCAAAAGCAGTCTTTGTTCGCATCACAGAATCAAAGGAGGAAATCTGCAGTAGTCACCAGGAAAAGAAAGGATTGTTAAATTCTATCTTTAATCTATTTGCTTTTGTAACCTTCAGGAAACTATAGTCACAAATTGAGGCATCAATTTCTTCACCTATAAAACGAAAAAGACAGACTGCATAATGCCTAACATCCTTTCCAGTCCAAAAATTAAATGATTCTATAATTAAATTTCTACCACAAACCACAAAGTGTATATTCTTTAGAAATCCCAGTGGTACAGGTAGGTAAAGATAAAAATTATCCTAAATACAGAGATTAAGTGTATTACTACATTCTTTTAAAAATATGGACAATAGGGCCAGGGATTTAGCTCAGTGGTTTCGCCACCTGCTGCACAAGCGCAAGGACCTGAGTTCAATCTCCAGTACCAAAAAAAACTCAGGACAATAAAAAAATGAATTTATACAATTCTGTTTGGATAAAAACAACAAAAATTTCAAGGTTACTAAACTTCAGGGCTGATAAATACAACGTGCCATTTCCTTGTCAATGTAATTTTCAAAGTACTTACCTATGGATCATTGTATGAGAATGTAAGTAGGCTAATCCCTGGAGAGCACCATGTGTTATTGCTGCTATTTCCACTTCTTGTAATGGCTTTTTGTGAACTTAAAATAAGAATTTATTTAAAGATAGTTATTACCTAGAACATTTTGTTTAAAAAATAAATATACATATCTGATGTATGAGTAGTTTTTAAAAAGACATTTAGCAAGAAGAGATTTATCTCCCTAGATGATAAAACAAGGCTACTGAACTTCATAACTAGTACACAATTGTGCTGACTGTTAAATGTAATCCTCAGCCAATTTCCCTCTTAGCTAACCTTTTTTTTTCTTTTTTCTTTTCTTCTTTGTGGAAACAGGTTCTCACTATGCAACCCAGAATGTCCTCAAACTTTACAATCCTCTTATCTGCCTCAGATTCCTGAGTGTTAAGATTACAGGTATGTGCCATTATACTTGCCCTTAGCTAACAATATTGAACAATTAATTGGTGATCATTAAAACAAAACTAGTTATTTCATTATTCACACTTATCTTTGTTTTGAACAGAAGGAGCAAATCAAGATGTATGACAAAGAATCCAAAAAAACACTGGAAAAGTTAGTGAAGGAAAACTTGCCTATTTTATACATGCATGTCAGAGTTATAAGAATAGCACATATTGTACTGTACTGAGACTCTGGAAAAGGCTATGGACCTTATTTTCCTAGAAAGTTTTCGTTTCTTTAATGTTAACATTGTTTAAATAATCTCTAATTGAATGATCATTTTATTGTGTTAATACTCTCTTTTTAAAAAAATAACCAAAGGAAACCTACCTTCTAGTAAATCTGAAGCAGATCCCAAACAATATTCCATTACAAGCTATGGAAGAAAAATTATGGAAGCATTAAAATATAAACATTTATTCTACCTGAGATAAAAATTTACCCAGGAAGTTAGTAAGAGTCTGAAGTAAAACAAACTCCAGTCGTCATTTGCCTCAAAAAATAGTTACACATTTAGTAATTAGTTAAGTGTATGTATCAAATAAGCCAAAGACACATTTATCTTTTAATGTCAACATGTAACTTCTATAAGCTATGGATTTCATTACATACACACACACACACACACACACACACACACAATTGTAACTATAAAACTTCAAAGTTGTTAGGAGGTAGAAAACTAAACTCTGTAACTATATGAACAAGGCTTAAAGGTAACAATTTAAATGGCTGCTTCTCTCTCTCTCTCTCCTTTTTTTTTCTTTTAGGTTCTCATTATGTTGCTCAGACTGGCTTTGAACTCCTGGGCCCAAGTGATCCTCCTGCCTTAGCCTCTCAAATAGCTGGGACTACAGGTATGTACCATCACTCCTGGCTCTAATTGTTTCCTATTAAGTAAATACAGCACCACCTCTGTGCCAGATGTTTTATATATATATATATATATATATATATATATATATATATATATATATATTAACCATTTTAATCCTCACAAAAACCTTAAAAGTTATGCCTTACTATCCTTGTTTTATACATATGGACTTTTTTTTTTTTTTGGTACCAGGGATCAAACTTGGGACCTTGCACTTGCAAGACAGGTGCCGGAACCATTGAGTTAAATCCCCGGCTGGCCCCTATTCTTGTTTTATACAGGGAGAAAATTAAGAGACACAGAGTTAACCTGCCCAGTGTCACTGCTTTTTCTTTAACCATACCCTCAATTTTAGGAGCCATCATCACCAAAATCAAATTAAATAAAAATCCCTCAGATATTACAAATCTAACTATATTAAAATATATATTAAAATCCAACTATATTAAAATGATAATTAGCTGTGCTTCATTATTCCAAATAAGAAATAATTTGTTTAAAGGAAATTTAATCTTTCTCTTAAAAAATAGTTACTGGCCAGGCATTTAACTCAGTGGTTCCGCTGCCTGCCTGGCAAGCGCAAGGTCCCAAGTTCGATCCCCGGTACCAAAAAATAATAATAATACAGTAGCTATGCATATATGATACCACTGTAAAATTACTATCACACGGCCTCAATGTTAACAACATAATAAAGTTAATCCCTAGTTCTTGTAAGAAAGTATTTCTATTTTCTACCCTTAGTATTACTGAGCCAAGGAATCACGATCAGTTCAAACTACTGAGATACTTCTGGTTGAATGACTTAAAATTCATTTATGTTACAAAGATATGTTAACTTTCATTCTCAAGCGATAGAATTGCTTTTACAATGTTTGGATGGTACCAATGACAGTACCAGGACATTTTACCATTTATATGAAGGTCAGCAGAATTCTGGAGAAATCTACAGTAGACTTGCAAAAGTTCTAGTACCTCTTTTTGCCTATGAGGTCTAGGATGCTAGAAGAGAAATGCTGCACTTCCTCTCTCAGGATGAACTAGCATTTCAGGTGTTTTCACATGCCTTTAAACAAGTAGTTTGAGACATTTTGAATTAATTCATTCTAAAGCAAAACCAACTAAAATTGCAACAAGGAGGGAACAGATACCAACCCATGCTGTGTGTTCACGTAAATAGCAGCCTTTGTATTCTATACTGTTGGGATGTTTTATTCTTTGTAGAAACCTGACTTCCTTAATAATATCCTGCCATTTCTGTGGGGAGAGAAAAAGGAATAAGGGAAAGAATTATGAACAGCTGGTTTCCTTAGAAAGTTATAGAAGAAAGCAATTACTGCATCGGGTCAACGAGAATATACAACTTTGCTGACTTAAAATTTTTAGATGAAACATCAAAATAAAAAAATTTTGAAAAGTGATTCATGACTCAATTATATAACCTATAAAATTATTTCATTCAAGGTAGGACAAATTTTAGTGAGATAAAATTTATGATCAATGAATCTTATTAAAATTTTATAGTCATACATCAAACATGTTGATGATAAAATACCATGTTTAGTGACATTTCTTCAAAAGTCTAACCTTTCTGGTTTTATTAACAGCGTTATAGCCCTAATTTGCTTGCCATAAAGTTCACTGTATTATATTTTTGGCTTATTTCATCTATCAAATATTAGGGTTAGTTTGTCTTTTATTTTTAATTCAAATGAAGTAATTCCTCTGAAATTTCTAAATGCAAACTCTAAACTGCTAGTGGAATAGATATTGTACAAGGAAAATTCACAGAAGAAGCAGTATGGAAAGCTTTTCTATGTATTTTGCAAGAGTCTTCCTCATTAACAGTGACCAGGAAACATAGATATTTATATTTAGCCTTAAGCTACTCCACAACAACCTTAAGCATTTAGGCAATATTCCTTTTTTTTCCCCAGTAATGGGTATTGGAACCTGGGATGCTCTATCACCCACTTATATCCTCAGTCATTTTTTTTAGGGCTCAAATGTGTACTCCTCCTGCTTTAGAGATAATGGAAAAATACATAAAATTATTTAGTGTAAGAATAAAATCAAGGGCTGGGGATTTAGCTCAGTGGTTCCGGCGCCTGCCTCGCAAGCGTAAGGTCCCGAGTTCGATCTTCGGTACCATAAATAAATAAATAAATAAAATAAAACCAAGACTCTTTTGAGTCCTTCCTTCCAAGATGACGAAAAAAAGAAGGAACAACAGTTATGCCAAAAAGGGCTGTGGCCATTTGCAGCCTATTTGCTGCACAAACTGCGCCCAGTGCATGCCCAAGGATAAGGCCATTAAGAAGTTCATCATTTGAAACATAGTAGAGGCAGCCTGCTATCAAGGACATTTCTGAAGCGAGTGTCTTCCGACTCTCATGTGCTTCCCAAGCTCTATGTGAAGCTGCATTACTGTGTGAGTTGTGCCATTCACAGCAAGGTGGTCAGGAATCAATCTTGTGAAGACCCAAAGGACCTAACATCTCCACCCCAATTTAGACCTGCTGGTGCTGCCCCACGACCCCCACCAAAGCCCATGTAAGGATGGACTGAAGAAAATTTAATGGACCGAAGAATAACCATTTCCAGGCAAAGAGGGAACAAAATAATAAAATGGATGTTATAGTTTTTTTAAAAAAAAGAATAAAACCAAGTATGGTGGCATATGCCTGTAGTCACTGAGCACTGCTGGGAAGCTAAGGCAGGAGGATCACAAGTTTGAACCCAGCTTGGGCAACTTAGTGACTCAATGAGACTCTCTCAAAAAATAATTCTAAAAAAGGCTGGGGATATACTTCAGTTGGAAGGCCCCAGGTGCAATCCCCAATACTGGGGGCACGGGGGATGTGCAACTATGTAACTCTAAAAATAGAGGTCCTTGGGTCCATAACCAGAAATATTTTGTTTTGCTTAAATTCTTTTATTGTACATTTTAGGTATACAGTACATTTACATTTATCATTGGGTACTTGTACCTATACATGATGTATGTTGGTTCTTATTTTTTCCCCATTCCCCGTCCTCCCTTCACCCCCTCCCATCCATACTCTCTATTTACAAAGACTTTGCTTCCATTTTTTTCCTTTTCTTTTTTCTTTTTTGCTTAAATTTTTTTATTGGTACATTTTAGGTATACAATATGTTTACATTTATCATTGGGTGCTTGCTTGTACCTGTACATGATGTATCTTGGTTCTTATTTTTTCCCCATTCCCTGTGCGCCCTTCCCTATTTACATAGATTTCATTTCCATTTTTTTTCTTTTCTCATAATTTTTCCTTTCTCTTCTTTCTTTTCCCCTTCCCCTCCCACTTTCCCTACCCCTCTGGACCTTTTCTTCCTATTTCAAATTATCAATTATTCGTTTTAATCCTTTTTTACACTTTCAGTTTCTCACACCAGAGAAACTATTTGGTATTTACACATGTGTGTCCTATTTATTTCACTTAAGAGTATCGCCTC